CATGTAGTGTGTTACATGTAGTATGCTGCATGTGGTATGCTGCATGTGGTGTGCTGCATGTGATGTGTTACATGTGATGTGGTCTGGCTGTTGGAAGCCAGAGCTGCTGGCTTTTCCGTGAGATGGGAGAACTTGGGGCTCTGGGACAGCCGGCAGCTTCTGAGTGCACACTGTGTCCTGCTGCCTGGCTTTTTGCTAGCCTGTCGAAGAAGCTGCAGACATTCGCTGGAGGAAATGCAGGGTTCAAGGGTGTTTGTTTCCCCRAGTTCCCRTACCTGGTGTTTGGAAGGATTTTAAGTCCTTGGGCCGGGAGACCATGCTATGCACCGGTGCGGAGTAGTAGACGATTCTGTTTGCAGTTTGTGTGGTGTAGTCACCTGGGTGAAAGAAGGAGGGTAGAGAAGAAGAAAACCTGGGGACCTAACCTCAAGCTGAAGGAGAGAGGTCGGGAAGAGAAGCGCAGCCTGGTTTGTTTTCTGTCTGGAGCTCCCTGAAGTTCCTTCAAGGTATGAGCTGAGGCTTTTGTGCCCCCCTCAATGGCACAGGGAAACAGTAGGGTGTGCAYGTCTGATCTGGAAGAAGGGCTGCAGAAATGCAACTCACTGGGTCCAGGGGTGACCGTAATCTTGGTCTTGGGACGGGAAGTCACTTGTGCTGATGGAGCCAGCTGCTTCCCAGTCTTGGTGATTAATGGATCAATGAAGTAGCGGGGACCAGGTGAGCAGGATTCCTCAGTGGGACATTTGGTCCCTCTAAATGAGTATGCGGGGGCTCTGTATTTGGTGGGATCATGAGCTGTGTGACCTGGGAAGAAGAGCCAGTGAAAGGGCGTGTGCCTGCAACTTGGCAGGGAAAGGCAGCTTCTAAGTGGAAGCAAGAGGAGTGCTGTGCCTCCGGCTGCCACCACCTTCCAGTGACAGCTGATTTACCTACTGAACCAGGGAGCCAGTACTTGGGACCCGGGGTGGCAAACTCTGCAAGGATGGGGCCCCGTCGGGGATGAGGCCTCCAGCTGCCCACCCAGGGTCCCTCCATGCGGGTGGCTGGACAGTCTACAGGAAAAGCAGGAGAGCTCTCAAGGAGCTTGCCTGACACAGCCCTGGCACAGAGCTTTCCTGTAGCCCAGAGCAGGAAGAAAGTGAAACTARCATCACGGAAGAAAGTGAAGAAAAGTGAAGGGAAGTGAAGGAAAGGGAAGTGAAGATCAAGAAGAAATAGCAGATGGAGRAGAAGGAGGAGAAGGAKGAATRGRGGGAARGCAGCAATTTAGAAGCAAAGATGCAGCAGAAATTCCCTGCTGTGCCCTCTGGCAGTAATTGTTGGCCTGGCCAGCGGCAGCGTCGAAGCGCACCGCTGGCCTGGCAGCGAGGCAGCCTCTGGCACGTGTACACGTGAACTTGCTCAGCTGGAGCTTGCACTGACTGCAAACATGAGATGCAAGGAGGGACTCCAGCTCCTAAGTGACATCATAATCCATTGCTAGGTGGATCCATCATTGCCAATGTCCATCATCAGGTGACATCCCAAAGGGCCATTCGCAGCCAGTGATGAGAGATGCCCATTGTGATGTCGAGACCCTTAAGCTGTGTGTGCTGCAGCGCTGCCCTATTGCCTGTGGGGCTCTGCTGGGGCTGGGCATGGCACTRCCACCGACCCGGCTCAGTCCTGTGGGAACAGCCCCAGTTTGTCCTCACAGAAATCTTGTGCCCCCATGCATTGAGTCCCAGCACAGCCCTTTCTAGTCCAGTGATGCCTGAGGACAGGGATTTTGTGTGGCTCAGTTGCTGGCCAGAGMTGGAAGAGGCTTCTACCTTGGAGTGCCTCTGACAACTGTCCCCTGCATTCCCCACCCTGTTCCCTTGAAACCTGGGGAAAACCTTTTCAATATTGCCACTTAGCCAGAGTGGAAAATTGCCACTTAGCCAGACGGGGAAATCAACCTCCCCAAGGGCCAGAAGTATAAAGCAGTCTTCTTTTTTGTTCTCACATTTTACACTCTTCTTGCCCTTGCSCTTCCATTCTCTTCTGCTGATGGGTAAAGGAGTCAGTAAAGAACTGATGTGGCTTCSCTTCAGTTCACGCTCAGCCACTGTGTTTCCAATCTTATTTAAGCACCAAAGTAAGAACGGCCTTCTTTGGCGTTGAATAAACGTGAGTCAGCTGYAACTGCCACTATCTGTGCCTGCAGCCACTTACAATGGGAGATCCCCTCAACTGAGCTGGGGAGCTGAGAGTGTCCAATGCCCAGCTCATCCTTTGTATCTCTTGACGCTTTTCCAGGGTCTCCGTGCTCCAATCTTACTATTAGAGGGGAGGGACAGAGCAAAGTTATCAGTCATCTTCATTCTCTGGCCTCTCCATTTGAGGGACCCCAGTGTCTGCACCTCTCCTCAGATGCTACTGAAGTCTTCAAGCAGGTTTCTCCCTTTGTATGCCCACTTCTCCAGGTTGTTTTGGGAATTCATGGTCATGAGGCTTTTCATTGTTTATGCTTCAGGAATACATGAACACTTTCTGTGTTACTCTGGGAAGGTTGGACAGGGTTAAATTTTGTTATTCTGATTGTGCTAGTAGTGTGAGTTTCTACACTTGCAGTGTGAGTGMCCCCACCATATTTTCTTGTCCCCAGATTTCATGACTCTTTGTTAATTATACCAGTCATTACCTATGCTTTGTTTAGTGACCCCCTAAGGTTTTCAGTCCCCAAGTTTTGTGGTTTGAGAGCCTTATGGCTTTTCTTTCATTGCTATGCTCCTTGGGCTGTGTTTAATATAGCACCAGTCAGGAAATACATTCTGAGGTGTATAAATCATGACTTGAATGGAGATGGCATGGGTGAGGTTAAACAGTGTAACGGCAAACCAGCTTAGAAGAGTCCTTTAACACAAGCTGATTTGTATAGTGAAGGGCACTTAAACTTCAATGGCACATGCAGAGAGCATTTTCTCCCACTGGTCAAGTACTCACGCAGTATAATCAGCAGCTTTCATATCACTTTCAGTCTTTGATACACTAACAAAATTGTACACAGCAATAAATGATCTTGCTCTCTTACAGTGGGTAAGGCAGATATTGAGAAGGCTGGCAAGAGTCAATACATCATCAGTGCAGTTGGCTGATCGTGTTACTTGTTGGATTACGTTAGATATGCCAGCACTAGTTGATGGGGCTTAACTAGTTCTTTTGTTCTTGGTGGCATTCACCTGAATCTTCCACATTCATTTTTTTCCTCCTGCTTTCCCCCTGTGCTCTTTATCAGTGCAAAGCTATCAGGTTTTGTTTAGATGATGCTTTGGAGCGTACCGAGGTCAGCTACTTCAGCCTTTTGGGACATTTTTTCTTCCCGGAGACTTAGAAAGCATTCCAATAAAAAACCCTCTTGGGTGTTGGTATGCTAACTCTGAAACCTACCAATAGCAGTGACAGAGGAAAGGTTTTCTGTGGGTTGGATATATTAAAGCTGGACCCTAAGGGTAACAGCCCCCCAGAAGCATCCATAAAGTGGGGCATAGTGTTGGTTTTGCTTGGCTCAGTTTTTGGAAGTGGGGGGGCCAAAAAGATGGCTCCCGTGAGAAGCTTCTGGAGGCTTCCACCATGTCCAGCAGAGCCAATTGCTGTTGGCTGTGAGGATGATGGACATACCACTGACCAAACCTGGGCCAATGGGAGATGGTGGATACGCCTCTGTGAAAACATATTCAAGAAGAAATCAAAACAAAGGTAGTTGCCACAGTAGTTTTGCCAGAGGAGGAGGAGGAGGCTGAGAATATGTGAGGGATGCAGACACCAAGGTCAGTGGAGAAGGGGGAGGAGCTGCTCCAGGCGCCAGAGCTGGGATTCCTTTCCAGGCTGTGGTGACCATGGTGGAGCAGGCTGTCCCCCTGCAGCCCA